TATATATTGGGAAGTCTGTTTTTAAAATATATTTCAAATATTTTTTTCTTACATGTGGGAGGCCAGACTGGGAGATGAAAAAGAAGCATAAGGAGCCAATGCTTCAGACAAGGGGCATGCTGATAGGAGGGGTGAGCAGAGTGACAGAAATATATCAGCCTGCTGCTTCTTTTTTACATTTTTGAAGTCTCTTCATAGGTTAGGGTGGAGAAGAGGCCTGTAAGTGTTACTGAACTGCAGGAAAAAAATACTCCTCTCCCAGACAAGGCTATGCTGTGTGGCAGAGCTGTGTAAATCTCATAAATGAATGGACAGAGACATAACTCATTCAGACGGTAAAACATTTTCCATATATGTATATCATTTGTGTATTTAGCTGTTTGCCTGGAGTTTTGCTTTAAGTCAATTTCATATGCATGTCTATCTAAAAAAAATAATTTAAAAGGCTATGCATTCTCATTAAAAATCCCAAATTGTGAAAGGCTGGCAAGGCATGGAAAAATTAAACTGGTGCACAATAACAGTTTCTGTATTTGTTCAGCATTAACCAACTGGAATCTGAGCGATCCAAAGTGGATTTCTATGTAGAAGTGACCTGTAAAATGTGTTGGTTTGGAAATAAAAAAACCCTAATTGCATCGCTGTCTGCCAGAGTCTTCATTATCTGACACTGTGAATTGAGCTTCATGCCTTTCTGGGCCTATTGTGCATTATCAGCTGTCTGCAACGATAAGACCAACCTATGATTATCCTTCACACAAGCCGGGCCAAGCAACACCTGACCATTCTCCTCCATTATAGAGCCAGATCCATTAAGTAATAGTACCATACTAAAAAGGTTAGCACAATTATGTCATCCAAAATATGAAAAAAAAAATGCTGCCCTTTGAAGCATTTCTTTATTTTTAATGGATTGTAAGAGAAAAAAAACAGATTTTAGAACATACTTTCAGGTGAGAGTGAAATGGGGACAGTTGTACTCTGATTTTAGGTCAGGGATCATCATGAAAAGCTGAGATTTAAGGGTAGGTCACAAAGGTGCCCAATAGATCTTTGCAGGGATAATATTTGCATGTGACGATGTCCCTCAAAATCAGAATTATGTAGCGGAAGAGAATGTATACAGTGTAGTGCAATGTTCAGCTTAGTTCTGACAGCTATGGTATGACATCCATGGGGCGGAATCCAGATCACATTATATTTAAAAAAAAAGGAGATTTGCTTTAAAGTGTTACTAAACCCAGGACTCTGCATTCACTATATCTGGTCTCACACAGTACACAGAACATGAAAGTGCAATTATTTAGTAAATATAAATTGCTAAATACCTTTTCTCATCAGCAGTTAGACCAGTGTTATGACTTCAGCAGAGCATTGGTTAAAACTTGTAGGAGGAGTTTTCTTTCTGCTCTAGGAGGATGTGAAAGTCATGACCCTCTGTCTGGACAGTGCTGATTGGCCCTGTGCTGACCACATGCACTCTCCCAAGAAAAAAAAACAACCTCTCTAGCACTACACACCAAACTGAGCATGTGCATATGACTACAGCTTCAATCTGTATCAGGTGATCATTTCAACAAGAGGAGGGACAGAGAAGAAAGGATCAAAAAAGCCTTTTTACACAAAGCAGAGGATGAACCCCTTAGGTTCCGCAGTGAATACAACAAGCATGCTTTACTGCATATACAGACTGATTTTACTGTTGTGGGTTTAGTAACACTTTAAGGATTCAGAGAGGCTTAGTGTTAAGGTCAGTGTTTCCAGGGAAGGATAGTGTTAGGGTTACAGGTAGGGTTAATGATAGAGTTACCAGAAACATTAACCTTTGGGTTGGGGTTTACTGGTAGGCTAAGTGTTATGATTAAGGCTACAGGGAAAGTTAGGATTGGAGTTAACATGTGAGTTAATGTTAGGGTTACATGGAGAGCAAATGCTAAGGTTCAAGAAGGGTTAATGTGAGGGTTGATGTTGGAGTTACAGGAAAGGTTAGGACTAAGGTTACAAGGAGGGTTTGTGCTAGGCTTCAGCATACAGGGAGGTTACAAGGACGCTCAATGTTATGATTGGGGTTACAGTCAAAGTTGGAGTTCAGGAGTTACAGGGAGGATTCGAATTATAGGAAGGATTAGTGTTAAGGTTAGATGGAGAAATAACATTGGGGTTACAAAAGGATTAGTGTCTGGGATTACAGGAAAGGTTAGTGTGAGAGTTAAAGGGAAAGTTAGTGTTGGGCTTGAAGTTAAAAAGGGTTGGTGTTAAGGTTACAGGAAGGCTTAATGTTAAAGCTGAAATGATATGAAAAGTTAATGCTAGGGCTGGAGTTACAGAAAGGAATAGTGCAAGAATTACATGAAAGGTCAGTGTTAGGGTTACATGGAGAATTAGTGCTAGGGTTACATGAGAACTTAGTGTTATGGTTACAGGGAGGGTTAGGGTTGAGGTTGCAGGAAAACTTAGGGTTGAGGTTGCAGGAAAACATAGGGTTGAGGTTGCAGGAAAACTTAGGGTTGAGGCTGCAGGAAAACGTAGGGTTGAGGTTGCAGGAAAATGTAGGGTTGAGGTTGCAGGAAAACGTAGGGTTGAGGTTGCAGGAAAACTTAGGGTTGAGGCTGCAGGAAAACGTAGGGTTGAGGTTGCAGGAAAATGTAGGGTTGAGGTTGCAGGAAAACGTAGGGTTGAGGTTACAGGAAAAAGTAAGGTTGAGGTGGCAGGCAAACGTAGGGTTGAGGTTGCAGGCAAACGTAGGGTTGAGGTTGCAGGGAATCGTAGGTTTGAGGTTGCAGGAAAACGTAGGGTTGAGGTTGCAGGAAAACATAGGGTTGAGGTTGCAGGAAAACGTAGGGTTGAGGTTGCAGGCAAATGTAGGGTTGGGGTAGCAGGAAAACGTAGGGTTGAGGTTGCAGGAAAATGTAGGGTTGGGGTAGCAGGAAAAATGTAGGGTTGAGGTTGCGGGAAAACATAGGGTTGAGGTTGCAGGAAAACGAATTGTTAGGGTGAGACTTATAGTTAGGGTGTAAAATTCTCGGGAAGCTGTTAGTAAGTGTTTGAATGAGGCCTAGTGTTAAAGCTGAGAGGAATGTTAGGTTTATAGGCAGGATTTGAGTGAGGGGGCTTTATAGTTAATATTATTGAGCTCTACATAAAAAAAAGGACCAGCACTAATCTCCTGCTATCAAACACTAATGTACCTTTTAATACATTTCATTTTTTTGAGAATACTATGACATTTTATTTGTTGAGGATACTGGGCTTTCTGATCTGACATCAGGGTAAGAAGAGGCTCAGGTGAGTACGGTCTGTGACAGTTGGAGGGTTAACTCTGGAGTGCCAATAAATATATGAGTGAATAAACTAGTGTTATATTAAAATGTTCCAAAATATGAAAATAGAAAATCAGATCAAATAAAAACATATGTTCACTATGTATGTGTGTATCCTAAGTTCAATATTTCCATAAATATTCACAAAACTTTCTCATATTAATTACAAATTAATTAAATTTGCTATATAAATTCATTCACTAAAACCAATTTTAAAATTAATAACTCCAGAAAGTCACACCTTACGCGGTTTGGTGTCAAGCCGCCAAAACGTGTAAAGTGTGACATTCTGGAGTGATATCACCCTGCACCACCAGTCCGCTCGCGGTTTGAATTTACAGCCAGAGTTGGCAGGGTTTTTTTTTTTTTACCAATGTGAAGCTATTATTCCTTATTGTCAGGCTGACACTTATATACTGTAAGTGTGATTTTATGCTTTTAGCTCAATAAACTTAGACGATCTATGCTATTAGTGTTTATCTTTCCAAATGTGGTTGATGTGTGAACAATGAATGAGAGTGGACCAAACTGAAGGAAGTTCATACGGATAATACTGAAGAGGAGATTGCTTCACCGGACAGGAGAAGAGAGGAGTTACTGGAGTGGAGGAAGGACTGAAGGGATCATTGATTGTTTTTACCCTGGCTGGAGATATCCATTTGATTTAACCACAAGGATTAATTAATGGGATTGTACTGATCAGGGGTGAGTATCTGGAGTGCTCTGGTTGATCACGAGTGATTAAACTGCACGGCAGGACTTTGGGTTTTTTCTTCATTTTTTTTTCTTTAAAAAAATATTTTTTTTCTATTGTACACAGGACTTTTTGGGATTCTTTGCTTTGATGGATGGCTTTGTATCTATTTAGATTTATTATATGAGTGCACTATTGCATTTATATGGATCACAATTTACGAATTGGTTTTATTGAATTAATTAAGATTTAATTAATTTAAGAAAATGTTTGGGATATTTATAAAAATATTGATTTCAGCGTACACACATATATAGTAAACATACGTTTTTTATTTTAGCTGATTTTGTTTTTCATATTTTGGTACTCAGAACATTTTGATATTTGTTATACTAGTTTGTTCACTCATATATTTATTGACATCCTAGATTTTTGCACATATTCTTTACATAGATATATATTGCAAGCACTTTATATGCATATTTATTGTGGTTTCACTGTCTTAGTGCGGTCACAATTTTTAATATATTTTTAAGACATTTTGTCACTGGATGACTTCAGCTTAGTTGAAGAACCTTCAGTCCATTTGACACAGACCTTAGTTTATTAACTTTGTAGTGTAATAAGAAGATTTCTCCTCATTCAGAGGTTTTATAATATGATGGAAATAAACTTTTCACCTTGTGTGTGTGCTACTGGAGAACATCTGATTAAAGGTAACATCAGGTTTGTCTGTGCAATGATGTGAATGAGCATTGGCAGATGACTCACTGTCTGTCTTTTTCAGTGTGATCTCCTCATATTTGATCACCCTAAAGGTATCTACAGGCACTGATGTGTGCCTTATAACTTCATAATTTTGCTTTTTTCTTCTAATAGATACATTTATTTTGTACGGAACCTTTTTTTTAATGTTCAAATATATATATATATATATATATATATATATATATATATATATATATATATATAGTCTCTCTCAATAGGGACCTCAATTATACGCTGAGACGGGGCGGACTGACAACTCATGGGGCCCCCGGGCAATAGGGGATCATGGGGCCCCTGTGTCCTTGCCCAAACTCAAAAAAGCCTATGAAAAAGGTACCAGGGGCATCTCATGGGGTCCCCTACTGACTCTGGGCCCTCGGGCAGTGCCCGAGTTTCCAAATGGTCAGTCTGCCCCTGCGCAGGGATAAAGTCTAACAATGCCTGTATTGGATATCCTATTTCAAATACACAGATTTACCTTTGTAAAACCAATCCATTAATTTTCAGTTCCAAGGTGTGCTGCCAGAACAGGCTTGGCAAATAGTAACAAATGCCTACTCTGGTCACATTCCATTGGCTCATGTAAAATATGCCAATTTTCAACCACATGTCCCAGTCCTTGACACCACCAGCATCTAATATGTCTTTCAAAGAAGAGACATTTAGGAGCTGGGTGTATGTTCATATTGGCTAGGAGGACGTTCAATACATTATCTGGCACCTGATATAGTGGCATCTGAACAGAGCCTGTCTACCCCTTGGATAAAAGTAAAAGTCTTACCCAAGGTTGATGTTTTCCTGGGTTACTGACTTATAGGATAGATTCCAGGGATATTCCTCAGTATATGTGTGTCGCTGAACAACAGACACAAGCTTATCCACACCCTTGGGTTTTGTATGCCAAATGCACTGCTGTATCTTAACCAACAAGGCTCTGATGTAATGGTTACAGACCACTCACCGCACAATCTAAGCAGACTTGAGAACCTCCAGTTGCAACAACTTATTTGTAAGGTGGAATAAATTATACATTTGGGACCTAGCAGGCTTCCATGGGTCATATTCCCATATGAGCACACACACACCACTCAGATGGCCATATAAACCTTGAGCCCGACTAGGATTTCTTCTATGAATTTAGGATACAACTCGGAATCGACGATTCTACTGACAAATGGGGATTGACTGTCTGATGTTGAGGTGGGAGAAAATTTGAGTTCTAGTAATCACTAATGTCTTTGGTTTGATATTATAACAAGAACTGAAAAATCACATACAAAAAAAAACATTTTTGATTTCAAAAGGACAAATTTTGCTGAAATGGGGTAAGTTTCTAAAAAAAGAAATGAAAGGTTGGAGTAAATCTGGAATAAGTAATCAGTGGGCACTATTAAAGTCTACCATCCTAGAAGCAGCTAGATTATATGTCAGGCAAATGAGTACAAATAAATGGAAGAAAAAAAAAAAAACAATATGGTTCACTAAAGAGGTAAGGAGGGTATCAAAGGAGAAAAAAATCAGCATATAGAAGATTCAAGGAAACGGGAGGTGTAGCTGACAGAGAAGGGTATAAAATAGACAAAAGGAGGCCAAACACAATATCAGTGCTGCCAAAGCACAGAAAGAGAAGGAAACTGCTAAATCTATTAAGAAAGGATAAAACCTTTTTTAGGTATATTAGCGATAGAAGGAAAAATACAATGGGATCACTAAAATGAAAACTGGGCACAGCACTTAAGTTGAGGGAAACCTGGATGTAGCAAACCACTTAAACACCTACTTCTGTTCAGTCTTCTGGGAGCTCTGTACCACCGCTCCTGTTTAGACCATCCTAAGATCACAGCAAGCTGACAGCTTACCTGTTCTGTGCCATCCCAGAGTGCGGATCGTCTCCTGCACCTGCCGACATGGTGCAGGGAATGCTCCAATCAGCTAGGGATCGTTCACCCCTGACCTCCCCTGGCAACTTCAAAGATGGCGGCGGCCCAGTGGCTCCATGTGCTCTCCCCCAGAGGGAGAAGACTGGGGTGAGTGCTGCAGTCCCCTCTACCTCCCAAAAAAGGTGTCTGCCACCAAATATAAACCCCCTTCTACCATCCAGAAGCACTTTGCTGGGAATTCCCTCTCTCCCATTCAAAGCGGCAGTGAGGAGGAGGTAGAGAAACAAACAGATCAGCCTGGAATGGAGTGGGGGGAAGGGGAGAGCAGCCATGCTAGCAATATTGTGCCACCTACTATCTCCCCTTTAGTCTCTGATGAGACTTCTTTGCAACCACAAGAGGAAGAATTGACTCTCAAACATATAATGGAGTTAATTCAAACATGCCAAAATGCCCTTACTACGCAGATTTATTCAATTAAGTTGGACCTGTCCTTCCTTAAACATGATATGAAGAAGCTGCAGGGCAGTGTGACTACTACAGAACAATGTATTTGTGACGTGGACGATGCCATTGATGCCTTGCATACTGATACCTGTTCCTATACAGCTAAACTAACAGAACTTGAGGACAGACTGCGATGCAATAACTTGCATTTTGTTGGCTTTCCAGAGGGGTCTTTGGGCAGAGATCTGGAAGAATTTATGGAACGCTGGATCAAATTCACCATGCCACCGGATACTTTGTCCTCTCTTTTTGCTGTTGAAAAGGCCCACAGGGTCCCGCTGCGCCCCCTACCCTCTGGTGCTCCACCTCAGCCTTTGCTCATTAAGCTTTTGTTAATTTTGCTATCTCTATTTTTCCAGATTTTCAGCAGTTACACAGAAACAAAAGGCTGCCTTTATGTCAGGGATCATGGCTCCGGAATCAGGGATCGCTGCGTCTCCCCCCCGCGCATGCGCACTGGCGGCAGATCACGCCGGGACACAGGCAATAGGTCCCGTCGAGCCGCGGCTGACAGGACGCCGCGCATGCGCAGTAGGAGCCGCGGGCGCGCCTCAGGCGTCCAATGACAGCCGGGGGGCGCGTCCTAGCCGGCCAATGACAGTGCAGGGCGCACTATTTAAAGATGCCCTGCACTGTCACAGATTGCCGCAAGGTCTGTCTGTGATCCTGAGTTCCTGTATCCGTTCTAGTGACCCTGATTGACCCTGACTACGCTGCCTTCCCCTGTGATTGACCCGGATTACCCTGACTACGCTGCCTTCTCCTGTGATTGACCCGGATTGCCCTGACTACGCTGCCTTCTCCTGTTCTGACCCCCGGCTTGCCTGACCATTCTACGGACTGACTTACCCTGCTGATCCTGCGTGTGACCTGACTACTCTTTGCCCGCCATTCGGTACCCCGCTTACCCCCACGGGACCACGATCCGTTACCACCCTGCTGGGGCCGCCATCCTCTTCACATCTGGCTCTCCCGGTACCTGCATACGTAACCCGGAGGCTTCCTCAGCCACTGGTGGGCCTGCTCAGAGGTCGTGACCTGGCCCCGGTCTGTTACAAGTCCATCCCCACCATCAGGGGCCCTGGTGAAAGCACAGCCCGGGCTTAGACCCCACGCTCTGGGTAGGTCTGTCAGTTGGCAGCCTGAGGCACCACCTGGCGGATCATAACACTTTACTTCACTCAAGCAATGGCTACGTGACAAGCAGCTACCCTACAGTATGCTTTACCCAGCCGAACTCCAGGTCGTCTCTTTTGACCCAGAGTGTCTTTATCAGTCTTGCTGTGATACAACTATCAGTTTATAAGTCCTACCACTATTGTACGCTGTGTGTAATCTAACACTGCTATTTTTATTTATTTTATTACAGGTACTTATATAGCGCCATCAATTTACATAGATATTGTACATTCACCTCAGTCCCTAACCCTCAAGGGGTGTACAATCTAAAGTCCCTAACTTACATTCATACATACACTTACTAGGGCCAATTTAGGCAGGATCCAATTAACCTACCAGCATGTCTTTGGTGTATGGGAGGAAATCTGAGTACCTGCGATTTTTTCTGATGTTTACCTCCCCTCTGAGGGAACTCTTTTTCTTATGTTACCTTGTTCATGTTATCTCTACAGGTAATCCCTTTGGGATACCAGGAGGCACGCCTCCCACTAGTTTTGCATGTTTCGGGAAAAAGCCCACTGTATTCTTTTCAGCTGGGCCAGGTGGGGCGATTGGGTGTTCTTGTTATGGTATAACCTTCAACTTTGGTCTTTGTAGCTCAAGTTTTTTTATCTGGTGCAAGAATAGTTTTTGGTGGCCTCAAGTGAATCTAACTGTCAGGCCCGGGGCCACTCAACCAATCTATATATATATATATATATATATATATATATATATATATATATATATACATAGTATGCAGCTAACAGTGGTGTCCTGGAATGTTTTTTTGTCTGAATTCTAAAATTAAAAGACCACTAGTGTTCTCTCATTTGAGTAAAACTACAGCACAAATAATTTTTTTTTACAGGAAACCCATTTATTGGGCTCCAGAGTGTTGGCCTTGAAACACCAGAATATAGCACATGCATTCAATGCTACATACTCCTTTTATTCTAGGGGAGTGTCCACCCTCATTACTATGGCCTTGGCGGTTAGGATAAAGGATGTCTGTATTGATCCCCAGGGCTGCTACCTGATTCTGTTAATTAGCTACCAGGAAGTTCACTATACCTTAGTCAATGTATACTTTCCTCCCCCCTTTGATTCCCAGAGATTGTGTAGCTGTACCTCCAAGGTGCTTCAAATGGCCAATGGTATCATTCTTATGGCGGGAGATTTTAATGTAGTTCTAAACCCATTGCTTGATAGATTAGGAGGTGCCCATTCTCCCTCTACAGTCCTAAAAGACTGGGCAGATGGCTATGGGTTTATTGATATTTGGCAGTGGAAATACCCTCATCAAAAAATGTACTCCTGCCACTCCGACTCTCATTGCTTTCTCACGGTTAAACATAGCTTTTACCACTGCAGCCTATTTACATCAGGTTATAGATATAAAATATCTTCCTAGAGCCATATCTGATCATGCTCCCCTGAAGCTCCAACTTCGAATAGTCCGCAAACCTGGTTTGCATATTTGGCGGATGAGCTCTTTTTGGCTCGCAGATTCCATGGTGCTTTATCAATGCCGAGATGACATGAGAGCTTATTGGCAGGACATAGATCCAGATGAATATGCAGGTAGCTAAAGGATAGATAATAGAGTGTGGTTGTATATAGGGTTCACTCGGAACAGAGACCAGTCCCTAGTGGTGTACACCAGGGCTCTGTAGTAGGTCATGATCTATTTATTCTATATGTGATATAACTAAAGGTTTGTTGGGTAAGATATGTCTTTTTGCTGATGATACAAAGGTGTGTAATAGGGTCGATATCCCTGGAGGTGTCTGCAACATGGAACATGATTTGGCATTTGCTGGAAGATTGGTCAAAGGAGTATAAACTGCAGTGCAATACTTCTAAATGTAAA